CCCCCCCCGAGCCGCCGCCTGCCCGCGGGTGCGACACCCGCTCGCCCCGCCGCAGTTCGTCCCTCAGCGAGGCTGAGCGAGGGATGCACATGTAACTCCGTTTGCTGCCTATCGAAGGGAGCGGCTCCTGCAGACTCTCCCTGCCTTCTCTTCTCCTCCTTTTTTTGTTTCGCGCTGCCTGACTCAGACGCCTTATTCTCTTCGCAGAGGCGGCACGTAGGTGTCTCCTCTCCTGCCCAACTCTCCCCCATTCCCGGGTTAGCATCCATTACGCGGCAGGAATTATTTCGAAATAAGAAAGCACCGTGTTGCAAACGCTCCCCAGCCCGCTTTCTGACACCTTTTGTTATGCATGCTTTTGCTGCTGGAGAAAATGCTAGTATGTGCACCTGCGAAAAAACGCCTTCATGATGTTAACAGCAAGCTGGAGGGTAGAAAGCAATAAAACTGCCAAATGTACCTGTTCCTATTGAGTCCATGACCTACACCTATGAATAAAGAGTCGCAGTAGGAATTCCTTCCCCTCTCTTCCCTTTTCTCTATATTTTTATTCATCGTAGGTTTGTAAACGCCTGGATCGGGTTACCCTTTCGCGTGTTAAAGTGGAACTCTTGTTAAAAGCAGGAGAACAAGGCAAGACACTTACAACCGCATTCAGAGTTACTGAACCGACTCCAAGGGCTCAAGAAGTGGAACAACGATGAGAGGGTGGGTAAGGGGGCACAAAACATCCCAGCCGCCCAGGAAAAAAGACACCCGCTCCAAACCCCCCTGACATCAGCCAGCTGAACTCTAAGCGCCGAGAGACTGCGGGTTATCCCCTGCCACCCGTCGAGCATCGCTTCGCACCCCCTTTCCCTCCGACCCCCCCGGACGGTGCGGTATGCAAACAGGGGGCTCGCATCCCCCGGCTTCCCAGAGCTAATGACCGGGCTGTGGAGAAACAAAACCCCCAAATCAGTGAAGAAAGGGAAAGGGGGGGCGGGAATCCCAAAAAGAAAAATAAAAACCCTCTAAATGTTTCCAAAAGCGACGCGCTAAAAAAAATAAAATCTGCAAAATCTAGAAACCAATCCTCAGGCAATGTCGCTGTGAGAGGCAGTGTCAGGACCCGTGCTCGGTCTGGGGATGTCTCTGGGCTGTGCGAGGTTTGGCAAGCGGCGGCTGCTGGTGCCGGTGTTGGTTTTCAAAGCCCGAAGCCTCCAGCCCGTTTCCCCGTCTAGAGCAACTTTGGGATTTCTCTAGGCTTAGCGAGTTCCGTCGGGTCCTTCCTACCTCAGTCCTCTCCGGTGGGGTCTGTCTCTGGAGTTCATGCTTAGCTGGACGCGAGGAGATTTAAGCGAGGGAAAGGGGGGGAAAAAAAAAAGAGAGAGGGGGGAGAGAGAGAGAGGGGAGAGGAGGAGAGGGGAGAGAGAGAGATCCTCCGCCGCGCTGGATCAAACTTAATGTCTTTCCCTAGTCCATCTTTGAAAGAGAAGTGGTAATACCACCTGGATGTTCGGATATAAATCCCCTTGCAAATAATAAATGGATTAATAATAACAAGGTATGAAGTTCTTTTTATAGAAAAAAGGAGAGAATTGAAACTAAATGCGGCAGTTAGACAACCATTTTGATAAGAGGATAATTGAGGCGACACTGGTGTATAATTAGAGGATAATTTATGCTATATCCACTTTTATTCCACCTCCCAAAATAAACCCAGTCCATAATCATTACAGGCAAATTGTTCTGAATTTTATAGCAGCAATTTGAACAAAGTACTGCAGTTAATCATGGGAGATTTTTGTGTATTCCTGATTAGAAGTCTAATTGCCTCCTTCCAGAAAGTAAAAATAACTGTAAAACGACTCTATTTTTATCATTAACAATGTTGACAATAAAATAAAATCAACTGGAATTGTAATCTAAAGACAAATTTAGGGCGCAGGCACTTTTTTTTTTCCTTCGGTCGTTTATATCCTAATCAAGCTTTTGCCAAAACCGCCAACCGCACGTAGCCATTTGCATATATTTGAAAGCGATTACGGGGAGCTGCCGCCGCCGCCGCTTTCAGCGGCGAAAAAATGCGCTGCGCGTCGCTTCGCCGCAGCGAAAATACCGCGCAAAGCAGCGCGGGGGGGGGG